TTTGAAAATTTTTAAATTGATAACAATTATCCAATTGCCCAAACCAAAACAAAGTCCTTAACATTAACTGTTGAACCTTATATTTCAATATCTGGCCAGAAGGCTGCGGCATGAACCATAAAAGATGATGGTTCAAAAATGACCAAATCCCGCGAATATTCGGAAGGTTCGTAAGTTAGTAACAATTAAACAACTAGGCAGACCGTAACTAAATTAACGCGTTTTTTTTAGTTAAGATTCTCTTCCGAATATGTTAAAACCTGCATGTTGATATCTGGTAGAGATATTGCAAATGGGGAATTTATAGGCGATGGTGCAAAGACAGCCAAATCGCGCAAATCTTTCGAGGGTTCCTAAATTCATAATAATTAATTCGCCGGCAGGAATTAAACAACATTCAGACAGAATCTTCTCTGAAGTTTCGGTTAATGACTTTTGAAACTCGTATCCTCACATCAGGCCTAGACATCAAAAATGTGCAATAAAGTTAAATGGTGCAAAAATTGCCAAACCCCTCAAATATTCGGTAGCTTCCCAAGTCCACAACAAGTAAACCGCCTGCCCCGAGCAAACGAAATTCACACCACATTATCTGTGAGGCTTCTTTTCTTGACTTTTGTAGTTCGCATCCCGATGCCTGACCTGATGACTGAGAAACGCGCAATAAAACACAACAATGCAAAAATTGCCTAAGGGAAAATCCTCCTAAAGTGACAAAAATTCAGCCACTGGCTCGAAACAAACAAAATTCGTGATGAATCCACGACATTTGCAGCGTTTTCTACACACAAACAATTTTTTATGAGTTGGCACTATGAAATTTCTCAAAAGACAAGAAGACACTGAAACACACTGAATTAATTAATGTAAACTAAATCGGTTTAATTGTAATGTGCAAAGTTGTAAAACTGCGAAGCTCGTTAAAACCGTTTCAATTTCCTGCTACAAACACTAATCCAGCCTTAGACTGGAGTTAAATAAATGCGTTTGGCAGATGATTTTCCTGCCCGTAGTTGGGCAGGTGAATTTAATAAATGCATCTGCCACTTGACTAATATTGTTAAAGTTGGATTTACTTGCTAAATCATGTCTAGGGAAAGGGCGAGGGTTGCATTTATTGGGGCCGAATCACTGCAGGCAGGCCCATAAATCACCACCTAGGAATCATTAGATCGTCATTAATAGTCTTTAATTTCGCACTAAATGGAACTGGAAGTAATTGCCATTGTTGGCATTACATGGTTAATAATGGCATTTTTTCTCGATTATTTGGATGCATAGTTTTGTAGAAGCTGATGGTTTGTCTGGTTAGCCCAAATTCATAGAACAAAATCACCGACTTTGGTGTTACGGGATTTTATTATGCACGCACACAAATTCTTCGGTTTTCACATGTGTCCGTTAAAAGTAGCAAGTGACTTAACCCTTACTTTGCCGGTCAAGAATAAAAACCCTTAGCAAACATCCAGGTCGCTTTAGGCCGCTTTTATGGTCGGCAAACACATAAACCAGAAGGTAAGAATTCTGGCGGGCATTACCGGGAATGTTTGAATGAAAATCGGGTTTTTTACCGGCTTTTTAAAACGTTATTTTCAAATTTTAACATTTAAAATTGCCATTTTCTGGTGAAGTTGTTGAGTTTTTCAAACAGCTTGTGCTTCCAGCAAAACCCACCACTTCCATATCTGCCTTTATAATTCTAGCTTGGTCCAATAATACAAAACCCTTCAGTTGCCCTTTGCGCGTTTTAACACCTTCCAGATAGAAAAGGCGTTAAATTTAAGGCAATTCCAATGCATAGAAGCGGATGATTTAATATTAACCGAATCTGTGTTGCTTATACATCCCGGCTCTATTTATGTTTGCACTGATTTATAACAAAGGGTGGCTTTCATCACTCCCCTAGGGGTAAAGCGGCTGACATTAAAACACCCCGCAAAAATATAGCTCATAATGCAGTCAAATGCCCATTTAAATATTTAATGAAGAGTGATGAACCGATTCATAAGAATCATAATCTTGGCACTTTTCGCCGGATCGATAAGTTCCGGCTGGATGGATACTTTTTCCATTCTTTAGCTTGTTGCGTGATTGATTGAATGTTCGTTCATAATGAGCGCCTCTTTTCATGGATTTGCGTTTTATTTGGTTTGAGCAGTCGACCGAAGGAGGCTTTACTGAAGACTCGAATTTCGCTCATATCTGCTTAGTTATTATCAGTTTAGCTTCTTGTACTGGTTCGGTGGCTCATTCCTCAACACTCTGACCCGATTTCGAGGTGCAGATTTCAACATGTTATACAGGAGGCTTCAGTTGAGCTTCGATATTAATTTAGTTTTGTTTTGGCTGGTGGGTCAATTGGGGTGAATTTTAGAGCAGTTTTAAGGCTTGGGCGATTTGGCCTTTATTGCACCGCTTTGTTTTGTTGTTTAGTCAACATCCAGCCCAGATATCGCGACGTATGCGTCTACAGTTGCTCACAGGAGCCCTACTGAAGCCAAACTCGGAACGTTGCTCGTTCTAAAAGGCGATTTCAGCTTTATGAATTTGTTAAAGAAGAAGACGTGGTTATACTTGCATTGTCTTCTTTTACTGCTCATTGCTTATGACCTGGAATAGACATCAATGATCAGGTTTTACTGCAAAGTAAAGGAGGGTTCACTTAATACAGTAGGTGAACTCGGCACGATTTTGGGAAGTCGGTTATTTTTTAGGAATGCACAAAACTGTTGAAATACTGAGGCAAATGGTCGTTTTTGCTCCGTTTTCTTTACTTAGACATTGTTCAGTAATCAGGCTAGATATTAA